GTCCCATTTGTGATTGTGTATTTCAAAATGTGACTTTTTTTTTTTTTCTTGTAATATACTTTCAGAATTTTTGGAATGCTACATTGTATGTCTCAATGTTACTTTATTTCACATAATTATTTCTTGAAATTGAAATCTCCCATGGTGACTTTTTATCCCAAAATGTGTCTTGCGGTGCTTTCTTATACCTTATTTTGCAACTATTTCTCATAATGACTTTGTTTCTCACAATTTCACTCATTTATGTCTTCCATGGTGAATTTAAGTCTCACAATGTGACTTTATTTCTCAATATCGCAAAACATTTTTCCAGAATTGCTTCTATATTTCAGTGTATATACTCTATACACCTTACAATGCTGCTTTATATCTCGCAATATGACTTAATTTCACGTAACTGACTTAATCTCTCACAATTTGCAAATTTATATCCCAAAATGTGACTTTTATTTTTTGTTATAGCAAGTTTGTGACTTTATATCTCCCATGGTGACTTTATACCAAGAAAAGTAACTTTATATTTCACAATTTGACTTAGTTATTTTATAATTGTGACTTTATATTTGGCAAATGTGACTTTATATCTTGCAGTGAATTCTATCATTTAATCATTGTCTCAAAATGGCCTTTTTATTTATTTATTTTATTTATTTATTTATTGAGGTGGAAATGGTAACAATTACATTGCGAAATACGAAAGTTGTAGTTAATTTCTGCATAAACCAACACACTTCAATATCTTAGAATTGTTTAGATGAAAAGTTTAGATGAATTTTACGATATTCTTGAAAGTTTTATAACTTTAAAATATGTTTATTCCATCCATATCTTGCTATAATGTATCATTATTAATCTAACGTATTCATGTTTCTCTCCATCTCAAACTTTGTGATGTACCTCTAAAGTGAGCAGAACTGTAGGGTAGGAAGTTCTAGGAAGTGCTGCTTTCCTGCTGCGAGCAATCTTTGCTTTGCTTCTGTCATGCCGGGAATCCTTTTGGTTCCGCTTCAAAGCGTCTTATTCTGAACAAGAACTCTGATCTGTGAGTGAAGCTCCTGTGTAGCCAGCACAACTCTGGACAGCGCTGCGACCTCATAGTCACTGACCCAAAATCAGAAGTAATACTGGTTTGTTTCCATGTCCTTGATATTGACGAATGTGCTGGTGCTTTTTCACCTTTCATTTTGGTTATTTGTTCTTTTGAAACTTCACTTAAGGCAGGTTTTGAAGAACGACCCTCATTTACCTATTCATCCTCTTTGCTTTCGTTTGTCTTCAGTCCTTTTGGTGTCACTTTTTAAAACCTTTCTCTCGGTGACCTTGGTCTCTCTGTCCCAGCCTCCGGTGGCTTTGCCGAGATATCACAAAATCAATGGCAAACGCAAACTTTCAGACTGCTGATAGGGGAATATTTGCTCGCACCTCCCGTGGCTCGCATGCGTATGCAAGTGGACAATTACTTTAAAAGTGCTTGCTAGCAGGATCGCCTTCCAATGTTGAATCTTTAATCCCAACAAGGGCGAAGGGGGCTTTTAGAGGCCACCTTCTTCAGATATTGCACTCAATTTGGCTTTCAAAGGCAAACTTATAACTGTTAAAATGTATTCATAGATGTTTACACTTTCATTTTGCTTATTATGCCAAAGTGGTTTAAAACAACATAAATGATGAAAGAATAATCATTTTTGTTTCTCCCGCTTCTTTAAATGTCAGTATGGCCTCCCTTGGGTTTGTTTTCAAAGTTCAATCTTTTTGCCTCTAGATTCATCGTGCCTTTGGAATCAGTTCGCCTGCTCGAAAAACAAGTGCATCGCCAAACAGTGGCTCTGTGACGGGGAGGACGACTGTGGTGACGGATTGGATGAAAGCGAGGAAATTTGCGGTAAAACTCTGAAGCACGTATTTGCATTTAGGCCACACAGTGAAAGACTTCCTCTGAGAGGAAGGATATAAATCAACACGAAAGAGGTGGGAAGAAAAATTGGCCTGCGGTTTCATCATAGTCGCGAATTTATGGCCATGCTGTGCTCCTAACAAATGGTCTCTGGAAGAATATATTTTTTTAAAACTCAGGTTTCGCAAAGGTCAAACACAAGCAGATTGTTAAACAAGTTCTCAAGACCGTGCTTAAACTCTTTCAATTACTTTGAGAAAGTTTTTTTTTACACAAATGAATGACAATTGAAATGAATGACACCGTGCAGTATGTTGACTTGAGACTGCGGTGCTTAGTCTCTCTCTTTCTGACTCTTTTTCTTGGCAGGTTCGGCAACATGTATGCCCGGTTTGTTTAGTTGCCCAGGATCGTACGCTTGTGTACCCAGGAACTGGTTATGTGATGGGGAGAGAGATTGTCCCGATGGTAGCGATGAACTGGCAGTAGCTGGCTGTGGTAACTTCAACCATGATATTTCCTTTCACAAAACCAGCAACTTCCTCAAACATTTCCTCTTCTCACCTCAAACCGCAGTGTAGTAACATAATAGCTACTTTTCTCAATAGTACTGAAGCTAGTAAATGAATGCATCAGTCAAAAGTTTGGCTGGATTCATGTTACTCATGTTTGTTTAAATGCTAGAAATTGGTTTTCTTTCTTTCTTTCTTTTTTAATTGTAGGTCATTCATTGTTTTTATTTTTATTTATTTTTTTAGGTCATACATTGTTTTCATTATTTTACTATTTTTCAATCAGTAACTCAATCAATCCAGGCATTTCATTTATTCTATTGTTTTATTTTATTTTATTTTAGGTCATACGTTTTTCATAATTTTACAGTTTTGCTAAAATGAAATGAAAATAAATAAAAACAGCCATTTTAATGGTAGTCATTCACTCACTCACTCACTCACTCACTCGTCTGTCCGTCCATCCATCTATCTGGAACAATGAACACTAATTAACACCACTGTTGGGTAATAAGGTGCCAAATGTATCCAAAAGATGTTCTTTTTATCTGCTGTCCCTGAATTTTCAGACCCACAACCAAAATAATTGGGAATTTGAGAAAAGTCTCAGGTGTCTATTATGTGATGCTCCTTTTATCCTAACACATACCTAACGTCCTGTTTGTTCCTGTTCTTCTCTTTAATAAGCTCCGAACAACACGTGCACCGAGAGCACGTTCCAGTGCCGGAACCAGAACTGCGTCCCGCGGCGTTTCGTGTGCGACCATGACGACGACTGCGGAGATGGTTCTGACGAGTCTCTAGAATGCGGTGAGCAACTCCGGTTTCTCGATTCATTACTTTCTGTTGAAAATGACCGTCCCTTTGTGGCCTGTTTAAAATGGGTTGTAATTGTGTTGGCACAACATTAATTGGACGTTTCAGCGGTTGGAAGCGGTTGCAGCATGCACAACTCACTGTCCCATTCCTCTGATCTAAGAATAAACACACTTGCTCAGAATAATAGATGGAAATATAGGCTACATTTTTTATTTATTTTTTTTGATCTATGAGATCTCTCTGATCTGATCTATGAGATGATGATTCTCACAAACCTGTCTGGACGCATTTTACCACAAAATCGAAAAGAAAAACAATTAGAAACTAAGCATTTTTGCATAAATTAAGTTGCATACAATGAAATAAATAAATTTAATTTATATAAATTTAATTTTGAAAGTGTACTGTAATTGAGTACTGTTTTTTTTTCATTTTAAAATCAGCATAAATTTAAGTGAGTAAAGTGAAGTGAAAATGTGTTTAATTAACATTAAAGAAATGCCAAAATGCAACATTTCTATGGGTTTTTTGTCTTTATGTAAAAAGTATTATTTTTGACAATAATAATTGTGCCTTTTTTCTAAGAATTGCAACTTTGTCCAATTTGTGACTTTATATCTCACAATATGACTTTTTTCGTAATTGACACTTTTTTCTCTAACTGAGGTCATATGTCATCATTGACTTAATTTGTGTATATATATATATATATCTCTCAGTGTGACTATTTTCACAATTGTGATTTTTTTTTCTCATAATTGTGACTTTATATGTCCCATTTGTGACATTATATGAAAAAATTTGGCTTTTTTATGATTAAGTATTTATCGCAATTGTGATTTTTGTTTTTTTATCTCGCAGTGTGATTTTATATCTCACAATGTGACTATTTCTCACAATTTGTCTCTCAAAGGTAACTTTAATTTATCACAATTGCAATTTGTTTTTTGTTTTTTTGACAATATCGTGCAATGCTGTTATGCACAAGTTATTTCTGACAATAATAATTGCACTTTTTTTGTAATTGCAAATTTATATGTCCCAGTTGTGACTTTATATTTCAGAATATGACTTTACGATGTGTTTCTCGTAATTGCGATTTTTTTTTTTAATGCATTGTCTTATATATCTTGTATTATGACTATTTCTCACAATTTGTGACTTTGTCTGCCATTTTGACTTTTTATATCATAAAATGTAATTTTATTTCTCTCAATGTGACTTTTTGCAATTACAGTTATTTTGGAAATATGACTCTATATCTTGCAATGCTGTATGCATAACTTATGACAGAACTTATGCTGGTTTTTTATCACCATTTGCAACTTTGTCTCCCATTGTGACTTTATATCACAAAATGACTTTGTCTTGCAGTATATTTCTCATAATGTGAATTTTTTTTGTGGCATCATATCTCACAATTGCAAATTTATATATTACAGTAACTATATTTCTTGTTTAAACTTTATCTCAATAATAATGGCGACTGAAATATCATGCATACCTATTTGAAACAGTGACAGCTTTAACTTTTTGCCCCGTTGTTTAAGTTATCGTCCTGTCATACGCTTTCTCTCTCTTCTTCTCTCCAGAATATCGTTTATGCAAAGAGGAGGAGTTCCGCTGTGCAGATGGGAGGTGTTTATTGAGAGCCCAATGGGAGTGTGACGGCTTCCCCGACTGTCTGGACCAATCAGACGAGCTGCCACTCAACCCAAAGTGTTCCGCTGCAGGCGAGTCCCGCTCATGTGTCATGCACCCCATTTGACTGACAGGTTCCCAGGTTCCGCTCCAATATGGGATTTGTCAGAACACCTGGTCTTCCCCGTTTCTGTCCTGTACCCCTGCCAGTACCACCTGAGCTGGGCAAAGAGGGGCTGATGAAACTGCTGTGCCTCTGTTCTTCAATTTTTGGTTTCAGGGCAAACCATATGCCATTAATGTTAACAGATGCCATTACTTTTCTCAGCCAAGCTCATTAAAAGCAACAGTTTTATGTTTATATTTCTGAGGGGAAATTCAGTTCAGATGTTTACAGTACAACTTTAAAACACTAATAAGGCTCTTTTGACTTGGACCAGTAAGCAACACTCTAGCAACCAACCAGAACACATAGCAACTGCATAGCAAAGTTCCAAAAACCACCTAGAACACCATAGCAAGCATGCCAAGTGCCCATAACACACTAGCAAGTATGTAAAAGGCACTCAGAAGACCCTAGAAACACATACAAAATGCTAAAACCACAAAGACTGCATACCAGCGTGTAAAGAAGCACTCAGAACACCCTAGCAACCTTAAAGCACCATATATAAAACCACCAAGAACATGATAGTGGCATACTAAAAAAAACATTTAGAACACCAAAGTGCTAAGACGCACTCAGAACACCCTAGCAACCACATAGCAATGTGTTAAAAAACACTCTGATCAACATAGTGACGCAAGGCAATACGCTAAAAAGCATTTAGAACACTATTGCATTTTAATAACAACATGCTAAAAACCACCCAGAACACCCTAGCAACCTCAGCCACATAGCAACATTCTAAAAACAACACAAACAAACCCTAGCAACTGCACAGCAACATTCTAAAAAGCAACCATATCACTTAGTAACCATATAGCATAGTGTTAAAAACTACCAAGAATAGCACATCAACATGCTAACATCCACTCAGAACATAGTAGTGATGGCATAGCAACATGCTAAGCACTTAGAACACCCTAGCATCCAGATGGCATCACAAAGAACACAGAACAGCCTAGCAACTACATAAACACCAAGAACACCCTAGCGACATGCTAAAACTACACAGCCAGACAACCACAATACAACATGCTAAACATCACCCAGACAATACTAGCAGCTACACAGCAACATGATAAAAACCACCCAAAACACTGCAACAACCATATAGTGTAGCAATGTGCTTAAACTACACAGAACAGCCTAGCAACTTCATAACAATGTTAAAACTCCACAAAACACTCTAGCAACCACATAGCAACGTGATTAAACCACAGAGAATAGACTAGCAACTGCATAACAATGTTAAAGCTACACAGAACAGCCTAACAACTGCATAACAATGTTAAAACTCCACAAAAACACTCTAGCAACCACATAGCAATGTGATTAAACCACAGAGAACACCCTAGCAACTGCATAACTAAGTGTTGAAACCATACAGAACACACTGGCAACTGCAAAGCAACGTACTCAAACTACACAAAACACCCTAGCTACCAAATTACAAAGTGTTAAAACCACACGGAACAACCTAGCAACCACATAATGGTGTGCTACATACCACCCAGAAAATACTGGCAACCACATAGCAACATGATAGAAACAACCTAGGACACCCTAGCAACCACATCGGAATGTGGTGAAAACCTTCCAGAATACTCAGCGGCATAGCAATGTATGCATAGCCATATGCTAAAAAGCACTCAGAACACCCTAGCAACCATATAGCAACTGTTGGTAGGGCATAGAAACATGCTAGGGTCTGTCAGGAGCACCCTAGCGACCACTTGAGTTCTGTGTTTCTCATCTGACGGTTTTGTTGATTTCTGTCTCCCCTTTTTTTTCTCGCTGCTCCATGTTTTAGAAAGTTTGTGCAACGGGTCAGTTTTCATGTGCGCAAACGGCCGCTGCGTTCCACTGGGAAGCGTGTGTAATCAGCACGACGACTGCGGGGACCGATCTGACGAGAGGAACTGCCACGTTAACGAGTGTTTGAACCGCAAAGTCAGCGGCTGTACCCAGGACTGTCAAGACCTACCTGTGGGATACAAGGTGTGTACGAATGCACATTTTTCACGTTGTCACATTGTTTCTTTTTACGAATTAAGCGTCTGGTTCAACTCAAGTTCCGTTCCACGCTAAAGACATCCACACATGAACCTACGGCCTACAAACGAAAGAATGTTTTTGTTTTCCCAACAAATCTTCACTAAACCTCATTAGCAGGCTTTAGCTGCTACGACAATATCGGGAAACATAGTGAACAGCAGGGGAATGACATGTAAGGCAGACATGCACACAAACAGAGTGTGTTTTTATTGGGAGAATGGCACACACACACACACACACACACAGAGAGTGGCAGATCGAACAGCTTCATTTGGCAGATGTCTCAGAATACTGGGCCGGTCCTTTGACAGCCACACTGACTTTAAAAACAAGCAGTCAAGGACACGGCGGCTCCAGACTTACTAGAACTTTGTTTCTCTTGCTTGTTTTAGCTTTTGTTACCGCGCAATTAAAATCTAAAGCATAGTTTTAATGAATGACTAAACTAATGGTCTAGAAACGTTGTAAACATTGTTTTATTTCACTGCTCACTTCCTGTCCATTAGTCTCTCATTAGTATTAATGTGAACTGTATATACATTTGCCATGGTCATATTTCACCTAAAAGTCAAATAGAAGATTTGATTAAGAAATTGCTAAATTATTAAAATACAGTTACAAATAAAAATGTTATTTGTAAAAAAAACAAAAAAACATTTTCCACATTTAATGACCATTAAGACTTTTTGCATTGCAATTAATTTTTTTTGTTTGTAATATAATATAATATAATAATGTTTTGCATTATATAACATTTATAGTACATTCCATTTATTTATTTATTTGTACGTTTGTTTGTTTCCTTCCCATAGTGACATTTCAGCCAATATTTGATTAAAATAAAATTTTATTAAGAAATGATCTAAAATTATTTAATTAGTTATAAATATTATTTTATATGAATAAATTAAGACATTTTAAATTATGCATATTTTTAATAACCATTAAGGCTTTTTGCATTGCAGTTTATTTTTCAGTTATTATATTATATTATATTATATTATATTATATTATATTATATTACAAACTAAAATAAATAAATTGCAATGCAAAACGTCTTAATGGTCATAATGTTTTTTTTTTATTATATATTTTTTTTTACAAATAACATTTTTATATTATATTATATGTATTATATTTATAATAAAAATATAATATTTTTATATTATATTATTATTAATAATAATAATAATTATTATTATTATAAAAAAATTTTTTTTTTAATTTGCATTGTATGACATTTAAAATATATAACAACCTTATTTTTTTATATTATTATTATTATTACACTGATTACATGTATTATTATTGTGGTGGATCTCATGAGAAAATGCTTGGGTTATATTTTACCCAAGCATATATTTATAACAAGACTATGTTAAATAATACAACATAACTGAAATATTAATAAATAATTTTAATGAAATATATTGAAAAACATAATAAATGTTATATATAGTTACATATTAATTTATTTTAATTTTGTGGTGAAATAACCCATACATGTTCTTGGCAGATTTCTGCGAGATTCACACACAGATCTTTGTTTTGTACTTTCTTCTCTAGTGTTCGTGCTGGCCGGGGTTTCATCTGAAAAACGACGGCAGGACTTGCATTGACGTGGACGAATGTTCCGAAAACTTTCCCTGCAGTCACCAGTGCATCAACACCTACGGGTCTTTTCACTGCCTGTGTGCTGACGGGTATCAGCGTCCCGCCAGTAACCCGCACAGCTGCAGGTCTCTCTCAGGTACTCTGCTCTGTTCAGTGGCTGAGGTTTGAATGAGCTCCTGTGGACCCTCACAATGACATTGCTATCACACTTGCCCAGAAACACCACACACAGGCGAGAACACTCATACTGAGCCTTGTTGTGACTTATATTTAGAGGAAAGCAACAGGAGGTTGAAGACAATTAGTTCTTCAGCTGGAGATGAGCTTTGATTGGCTAAGAACAGATCCAGGTGTGACATATGGTGTCTGCCTGCAGTTATTTACTGTATAAAAGAAAGACACTTTCATATTCTCTCATTTAGTGTTCACTTGAAACACCACTGACATGCAAAGAAGCTGCTAATAAAATCTGCCGAAGACCACCACTGCATTGTGATTGCCTTTTTAACACGGTACTATGGTAATACCATGTTTTCTGGACATGTACCATATGACTCGTTCTACAAAATAGGTTATATGTGTTAATACAGACGTTTTTATTTTATTTATTTAGTTTTTCCCATTTCAGTTGACTGCATTAAGAAAGACTGTGCCAACCCTGTTACCATTATATATATATATATATATATATATATATATATATATATTTTGTCCATTTTCCATTAATTATCTATTCTATAAATAATAAAATAATATTTAATAATAGTGACATAATTCTTTCACAAAGCAAACTCATCAAAGACATACATAGTCTCCTACATTCTATTGATTTACTTTTGAAAGCATCTTAAAATATCAACCCTGTTACCTTGAAAATGTTTTAAGAACAATCGCTAATTTATTTTTAAGAAATATAATATCATTGAAATGTACACATAATTATATAGTATTTTAAAATATTTTTAATGTTTTAAATATGCTTTGTCTAAAGAAAGCAGTCTAAAGTTTTACTGCTTTATCTTTTTAGTGTCTTAAAATATGAACCCTGTTACCATAATATTGTATAGTGAACAATTGATATGTACATTTAGTCATTTAGCAGACACTTTTATCCAAAGCGACTTACAAATGAGGACAATAAAAGCAGTCGAAACTAACAAAACAGCAACAATATATAAGTGCAAATGACAAGTCTCGGTTAGCCTAACGCAGTACACGTAGCAAGGTGACTATAAAAGATGCATGTTTTGATGTTTGGCTTTTTTTTTTTTCATTATTATTTTTTTTGGACTCAATGCTCATACCATCCAAATTCTTCCATTTGCTTAAATTAAATGGTTTGAATTGATTTGAAAATACCAAAATATTCACTTTCATTAATGGTTGATAGCTGCTGAAGATTTGGACTATCAGATAAATACTCATGGTGGCAAAGGAAGTTCGAATCTGGCTCGCAACAAATTCTGGCCACAATCCTGTCCTCTTTATACTTTTTGTTTGTTTGTTTTTTTTATATTTATCAATAGCATTATATTAGAAATAAGCATGCAAACACGATAATGATAAAAATAAATTTTCATGTACTGAAATAGAAGTAAAATAATTTGAAAACCTAAAAACATTTGCCTCCGAAACAAAGAAACTTTTATTTTATTTTTTTTTATTTTGAATTGAGTAATAAATTACTTAAGGTTGAAATAATTTAATACTTTAAAGTTTTTTTTTAGTAAAAACTGGTGGAAAGAAAAGGGAAAAAGTGGAAATATTTAAAAGTGTTGAATATAGTTTATAGTTATATATAATGTAATATACTTGTATTTCCGTTTTAGTAATTTTAGTACTTTAATCACTTTTTTCTTCCCTGAAGCAACATTTCTCATTTTTGTTTTCGTTTAATTTTAGTTAATAATAATAATAATAATAGTTATTATTATTATTAAAAGTATTATAACAAAAAAAAATCTGCAAAAACCTTTTAGTTTGTGTTAGAAACGATTGGTCTAATAGATCTCGATATTAGAAATATTATTTTTCAGGTGAAGTGAAAAATGAGAATTTATCCACTGTTTAAAAAAAATCCTCTGACTTTCCTTTCCTTTTAAAAGCTCATCTGTCAATCTCACGTTTGCCTGTCTCTCTCTCTCTTTGTCTTTTTCTCTGCAGGGACTCAGTAATGTCATCTCTCTAGACTTTGACTACAGGAAGGAGTTGATCTATTGGATTGACACTAGCAGGCCCAGCGGACGCAGAATAAACAGAATGCGCCTGAATGGAAGTGACCTCAAGGTACATTTGCGAGTGTGTTTGTGTGTGTGTTTACGTTGAATTACTCTTGAAATGTCCAGATTGACATATGCAAATACCCTCTGCCCCTGGGTAAATTTGATTCACGTCACCTCTGTACAGGGGCCATTTTTATTGCGTAATTGATGGATTCCAATGGGGGAAAGCTGACATAGTTACATCACTCCAACAAATAATAAAAGCTTTTTTTCTGAGAATAATTGGTATTTCTGGTATGAAATGAGCTGGGGTTGAAATGATAGACCACGCAGTGTGTGTGTGAGGCTGTCTGTCTTCATACTCCTCTCCATCAATGCCCTTGTGTATATTACTCGGGGCGGAAAACGGGCATAGTGTGCCAGCCTTGCCCTGCTGGGCCGCCAGAGCTCGTTATGTTTAATATCGAGCCATAATGGCTCATTAAACTTGATTGAACTCTGGATCTTGAACTGATTTATGGTAGTGTGCTATAGTACAGAGAAAAGAGAGAGAGGGAGAGGTAGAGCTTCTGTAAAGGCAAGGAAGTAAAAAATGTGGTAAAGGTAAAAATGCTCTTGGTAAATGCTTTGAATGATTGCAAATGAGCCAGATTCGCTAGAGACGTCTAGAGAGATTTGAAGTGTTGTGGTTTTTAGCACTGTTTCACAGGCGTTATGAATATTCAGTATGATGTGCCTGTCACTTCGCATGAAAATACTGTAGTAGCAGTACAAGTTTCGACCATTGGGGGCAATCTGGAAACGCAATTTATTTAAATATTTTTTCCCACAAGATCAGTTTGATCTCAGTGTTGTGAGTATTTTAGGGTCGTTGACAATTTTTTCTACGCAATCACACATCCTTTTTATGTTAATTAAGCATAAATGTATATTATGTAAATTATCGCGAATTGTGCCATGCAACTCATTGTTTGGGCATGTTTGCAGCATTACCTGTTTTGCATTCCTTAGTTTTCAAATTTCCTGGTTTAGATTACATTGTTAAGAGTAAAAGAAGCATAGATATGTAGCGTTATATATATTTTTTACAGTCAAAAATAATGTAAAATACCAGTAAATAAAATGTTTACTAACATAATAAAGAGTATAAACATGTATTGTAATATATTTCACTTTACAACAAAACCTTTACATTGAACTGTATTCAGAACAGGAATGCAAAATATAAGTAGTAAAACAAGCATCAATTATAGTGACATTTATTATTGTAAACAACAAGCCTAAATTAGTTTATTTAAAGCAAAATTTGGAAAATGCACTAAAGAAATAAATGTAGGCTCATGCACCTCCCCTATTCGGCACAAATCAAAATGTGTGCACTTTGTGTATGTTTTGCGTGCAATGAGTTATTTTGACTTAACTGACTTAGTAATTGAATTTGCCACATTTTGTTGCTATTGATTTGCTTGCCCAGTTCATATTTTTTTTACACTTTCACCCCGTGGTGTATCCCCACCCTGTGGTTCTGTACCATTTAACTGAAGATGCTACTTTCCCCGGTGAGCACAGCATCTAGAAAACCTGTGATGTCGAAATTCATCATGGCTAGGCTAGTTTTAATTAGCGCTGATGGTACGGCCCAGTCTGAGGCAAAATGTCTTTAATGTTCATCAGTTTGCAGAATGTTACTCTTACTCTTAAAGCGCTAGGCAGGGGGCACCAGCAACCAAGAGCGAAAATGATTAAAAGCACTGGATTATCCGCCAGCTGGAAAGAGTATTGTTTATGCCAAACAGGCAGTTTCTGTGATCAGAATGAGCAGTGAAATGTTGTAAATGTAAGTGCGTTTTTTAAAACTACTTCTTTTGGGAACTTTTCTTGCCATTTTTGGGGAGTTTGAAGTGCTGTAATGAGCGGTTATGTAACCCGCTGATAATTAGCAATAATAATTTAAAGTCTAGCTCACCGTTCTCTTGGTTTTAGGACCCCAATTCTTCATTTACAGTCGAGAGTTTATAGGTTGCTAATAGAACTACACATCTAGAGATTATCATAGCCTTGAACCTATCACTGCAAAGAAAGAAAGCCTCTTCACACCCAACTTTATCCTATGTTTACTAGTTGTTGAGCGTTGTTGCTGTAGTTTGACTGTAGTTAAATGTTTTTGTTGTAGTTTGAGTTTTTGCAGTGAAAACTTGCTGGAAAAATGCTATGCTAGCTATTTTTGTGGACCTGCAAACCACCAGTTATGTTTACATGAACATATTTCTGTTTGTTTCTGGTTAAAAAATAGCATTTAAATTCCTATAAACAGAATGCGCCTGAATGGAAGTGACCTCAAGGTACATTTGCGAGTGTGTTTGTGTGTGTGTTTACGTTGAATTACTCTTGAAATGTCCAGATTGACATATGCAAATACCCTCTGCCCCTGGGTAAATTTGATTCACGTCACCTCTGTACAGGGGCCATTTTTATTGCGTAATTGATGGATTCCAATGGGGGAAAGCTGACATAGTTACATCACTCCAACAAATAATAAAAGCTTTTTTTCTGAGAATAATTGGTATTTCTGGTATGAAATGAGCTGGGGTTGAAATGATAGACCACGCAGTGTGTGTGTGAGGCTGTCTGTCTTCATACTCCTCTCCATCAATGCCCTTGTGTATATTACTCGGGGCGGAAAACGGGCATAGTGTGCCAGCCTTGCCCTGCTGGGCCGCCAGAGCTCGTTATGTTTAATATCGAGCCATAATGGCTCATTAAACTTGATTGAACTCTGGATCTTGAACTGATTTATGGTAGTGTGCTATAGTACAGAGAAAAGAGAGAGAGGGAGAGGTAGAGCTTCTGTAAAGGCAAGGAAGTAAAAAATGTGGTAAAGGTAAAAATGCTCTTGGTAAATGCTTTGAATGATTGCAAATGAGCCAGATTCGCTAGAGACGTCTAGAGAGATTTGAAGTGTTGTGGTTTTTAGCACTGTTTCACAGGCGTTATGAATATTCAGTATGATGTGCCTGTCACTTCGCATGAAAATACTGTAGTAGCAGTACAAGTTTCGACCATTGGGGGCAATCTGGAAACGCAATTTATTTAAATATTTTTTCCCACAAGATCAGTTTGATCTCAGTGTTGTGAGTATTTTAGGGTCGTTGACAATTTTTTCTACGCAATCACACATCCTTTTTATGTTAATTAAGCATAAATGTATATTATGTAAATTATCGCGAATTGTGCCATGCAACTCATTGTTTGGGCATGTTTGCAGCATTACCTGTTTTGCATTCCTTAGTTTTCAAATTTCCTGGTTTAGATTACATTGTTAAGAGTAAAAGAAGCATAGATATGTAGCGTTATATATATTTTTACAGTCAAAAATAATGTAAAATACCAGTAAATAAAATGTTTACTAACATAATAAAGAGTATAAACATGTATTGTAATATCTTTCACTTTACAACAAAACCTTTACATTGAACTGTATTCAGAACAGGAATGCAAAATATAAGTAGTAAAACAAGCATCAATTATAGTGACATTTATTATTGTAAACAACAAGCCTAAATTAGTTTATTTAAAGCAAAATTTGGAAAATGCACTAAAGAAATAAATGTAGGCTCATGCACCTCCCCTATTCGGCACAAATCAAAATGTGTGCACTTTGTGTATGTTTTGCGTGCAATGAGTTATTTTGACTTAACTGACTTAGTAATTGAATTTGCCACATTTTGTTGCTATTGATTTGCTTGCCCAGTTCATATTTTTTTTACACTTTCACCCCGTGGTGTATCCCCACCCTGTGGTTCTGTACCATTTAACTGAAGATGCTACTTTCCCCGGTGAGCACAGCATCTAGAAAACCTGTGATGTCGAAATTCATCATGGCTAGGCTAGTTTTAATTAGCGCTGATGGTACGGCCCAGTCTGAGGCAAAATGTCTTTAATGTTCATCAGTTTGCAGAATGTTACTCTTACTCTTAAAGCGCTAGGCAGGGGGCACCAGCAACCAAGAGCGAAAATGATTAAAAGCACTGGATTATCCGCCAGCTGGAAAGAGTATTGTTTATGCCAAACAGGCAGTTTCTGTGATCAGAATGAGCAGTGAAATGTTGTAAATGTAAGTGCGTTTTTTAAAACTACTTCTTTTGGGAACTTTTCTTGCCATTTTTGGGGAGTTTGAAGTGCTGTAATGAGCGGTTATGTAACCCGCTGATAATTAGCAATAATAATTTAAAGTCTAGCTCACCGTTCTCTTGGTTTTAGGACCCCAATTCTTCATTTACAGTCGAGAGTTTATAGGTTGCTAATAGAACTACACATCTAGAGATTATCATAGCCTTGAACCTATCACTGCAAAGAAAGAAAGCCTCTTCACACCCAACTTTATCCTATGTTTACTAGTTGTTGAGCGTTGTTGCTGTAGTTTGACTGTAGTTAAATGTTTTTGTTGTAGTTTGAGTTTTTGCAGTGAAAACTTGCTGGAAAAATGCTATGCTAGCTATTTTTGTGGACCTGCAAACCACCAGTTATGTTTACATTAACATATTTCTGTTTGTTTCTGGTTAAAAAATAGCATTTAAATTCCTGTCGTGACAATAACTGTTGGCAGAAACAATAAAGCCTTACTTTTGTATGACTCTACCAGCAAGTGCACAGCTGTATCTCACACTCGCCATTATGAACTTTTCTGCTAGGAAGCATTTGTTCCCTGTGGTACTGGCTGTGGATAAATCCGTGTGAATAACCGGCCAAAAGAGATCGACTGTACTTGACTGCTGTTTTCTCAGGTGGTTCACAGGACGTCGGTCCCCAGTGCTCTCTCTGTGGACTGGATCGGCAAGAACTTGTACTGGTGTGACGGCGAGAGAAAGACCCTCGAGGTGGCGAAAGCTAATGGACTCTACCCGACTGTACTGCTGAGGACTGGCTTGAGAAATCCAACCGCTCTGGCTCTCGACACTCTCATGGGGTAAATGATGCTTATTATTGCCTATTGTTCGCAATCCCAGAACGCATTGCTTTTGAGTAGACTTGTAAGAAGCACTGCACCATTTAAAGCCATTTATTCCCATGGTGCCTTAGATTTGTTTTCTGGATCGACTGTTGCGAGCAGCCCCAAATTGGACGGATTGGCATGGACGGCAGCAAGCCACGTGTCATAATCGATACAGAAATGCATTCTCCCTCAGCCTTGACCATTGACCACATCAACAAAAGGATCTACTGGGCCGACGAGAACCATATCTTATTTTCAAATATGGATGGTACAAAAAGACACAAAGGTAAGTTTCGCCTTGTCTCGAATGTTATCTCGTCATGTTTCGAATTGTCCTCAATAAGACCTCTCAATCCCAATTTCTAGTCCCAATCAAGGACATAGGTGGCGTAACGGGTCTCGCACTGTTTGAGGACTTCATCTACTGGTGCGACCAGAAGTCGAAAACCCTCAGTCGCTCGCACAAGACATCCGGTGGCCAACATACAGAACTTCTCAGCTCCTGGCAAACTATTCGAGACATTAAAGTCTACCATCCGCTCCGACAGCCTGACGGTATTACGGCGAGAAGCTCTTGTCAGCTTGGAGACGTCTTCAGATTACTTTTTGTGCTAGAGTCATGTTGTTTCGGGCTTGTTTTTTATTGTTTGCTGTTTGTCCTCAGTGCCAAAGCATCAGTGTCAGGTGACTAATGGAGGATGCAGTCACCTATGCCTTCTTTCCCCTGGTGGGGGATACAAGTGCGCTTGCCCTACGCACTTCTACCTGGCGAACGACAACAAAACCTGTCTGTCTAACTGCACCGCCAGTCAGGTGTGACTTTATAATTACCTCAGGAGCCAGAATAAGGGTTTCGCTGTAGCTCAACTACTCATGGCATCACTTTCAACTACCAATTATATCCAGTGTGCTACTCGATAAATAGTTGTTCAAGAGGTTGTTTCTCTGTGTGTGTAGTTCCGCTGTGGTACGGATGAGTGTATTCCCTTCTGGTGGAAATGCGACACCGTGGACGACTGCGGAGATGGATCCGACGAGCCGGCAGATTGCCGTAAGTAACCTAACATGGTGGAAGTCAGCCAAACTGGTTAAGCTGGTGAAAAGTACATCATTGTAGTGCCTTGTAGTGTCTATAGGGCTCAAAATCTAGTAAGCTGCCTACCTAGAGAGAAGGGATCATAGGTGAGATGACTTTTACGATATCTTGTTTGGCCAAATTGGAAGGCAGCATTGAATGTATCCATTACAGAATGCAATGTACAAAAATAATTGAATTGAGATTTTTAGAGTTTTAAGGATTTAGAGTTGTTGTGCTATTAGCTTAGCAACATGCTAACATCAAACTCTGTTGGAATCCCTTCTGATTTGTGTCTTTGTTTGCAGTAGACAGAAAGAAAGCTCCCTAGGTTAAGAGATTTGGTCCTGATAATTCACTTCAATATATATTCCACTTGTGCACTTTGAGTTTCTTTAAATGACTCCATGATCAATTACGATTTCTTTAAGCTCAACTGAAAGAAATACATTCTTTAGACACTTGAGCTATTTATTCTATAAGTTGTGCACAGGAAAATCTTTTTGTGACAACTTATTCCTGTAATTTTGCTCGCCGGTTCATGGAGCGATTATTTTTGAATAAAGATTTGTCTGTCATCAAGTTTATATTCAAGTATTTCTTTGAATGGGTCATTTGTAATGTGCTAGCACTTGCTTGATTGAGAGGTGAATTGTCTAATTCACTGCAAAGAGCTGCAGAAATGGATCAGGTTTTGTGAAGTATTTGTCATCTCGACTAGCAGTTTATCGCACATTGAGATGCTATAGAGCCAAAGCTGACAGCGAACAAAAGACATTTGTGTTAAACTCCAGGAAAAAAAGAAAGGCACCTTTCTATAGTATGCTCTTTCTTTCTGTTCAATATGTCTGTCTGACTTTCTGCCTGTGTTTTGTTTTATCTCTGTCTTTCAACTCTTCTGTCTTTATTTTGATTGTTTGCTCATTTAGCTGAACAATTGCTCATTTACTCACTCACTTGTTCTTTGTTATTACTTTGTTCTGTTTGTTTGTTCATTTATTGTCTTGCTATCTTTATTTTTTTCTCTTCATTTTTGTTTATTTGTCCTTGTTTGTTTATTCTGTATGTCTTTCAATCATTTCTCTTTAATTTGTTTATTTACTTGTTCATTCACTCAATCATTCTTCTTTCATTTCTGCATTTTCTTGTACATTGTCTGTTTACCTTTGAATCTTTGTTTGTCCATATTTTTTTCTTCTTTTCTTTCTTTCTTTCTTTCTTTATTATTTGCTCATTTTGTTTGTATTTATTGTCTTGCTATCTTTATTTTTTTCTCTTAATTTTTGTTTATTTGTCCTTGTTTGTTTATTCTGTATGTCTTTCAATCATTTATCTTTCATTTGTTTATTTACTTGTTCATTCACTCAATCATTCTTCTTTCATTTCTGCATTTTCTTGTACATTGTCTGTTTACCTTTGAATCTTTGTTTGTCCATATTTTTTTCTTCTTTTCTTTCTTTCTTTCTTTCTTTCTTTCTTTCTTTATTATTTGCTCATTTTGTTTGTCTTTCTGTCTGTCTTACATTTTCTTTATTTTTTGTATCTTTGTATATCCTTGTATTTCTTTCTTTCTTTCTTATACATTTATCTGTCTTTCTTTCATTTGCTGATTTCCTTGTTCTTAATTCGTTCTTTGTTCTATCCTTTTCCATTAGTTTAATCTGTCTGTCTTTGAACCTTTCTGTCTGTTTTTCATTTATTTTCTTTCTTTCTTTCTTCTTTCCTCTTTTTGTTTGTTCATTCTGTTTTGTCTGTTTCTTTTATTTATTTGTTTTATTTCTTCTGTTGTTTTCATACAGTTGTTCTTTCTTCTGCTTACAGCGGCGTTTAAATGTCAGCCCGGAAGGTTCCAGTGCGGAACGGGTTTGTGTGCCCTCCCTCCCTTCATCTGTGATGGAGAGAATGACTGCGGAGACAACTCGGATGAAGCCAACTGTGGTAATTATAGATTGATAGATGGATAAATGGAGACCAAGCGTAATGCAGTATGATGTATCATACAGTGATATCCTTGTTTGCATTTGTTTTCAGACTCATATATCTGCCTTTCTGGCCAGTTTAAGTGCACTAACCGGCAGAAGTGCATCCCTATAAACCTGCGCTGTAACGGACAAGATGACTGCGGAGATGGTGAAGATGAAACCGATTGCCGTAAGAGACACTAGGACTCATTTTTTCTCTCTCTCAGATTTGACATAGATGACACTGATTCATTTTCATCGTTCCTTAAAGAATTCTGTTGAGCTAGATTTCCCATCAGGAGAGGAAAAGCACCCAAAATGAGAGCAAAAGAGGTCGGAAATAGATTTAAATCTCCTCCTTTATGAATGTGTTTATTGGCTCACAAAGGTCAAACTCAGACAGATTCAACAAAATGTTTGAGAACTTTGAATCGGTTGATGAGAAAAGTGCCAAGCGAGGAGCCTGGTAAACATTCCCGAAAGTTTTGTTTCGTTTTCTCATTCCTCGGCTGCAGAGCGCTTTTGAAGGAATTGCTTGAGGGGAATTTAGGACACCCGACAGCGAGAAGAAAGGAGTGAAATGAGAAAAAAAGAAAGCGAGGTAGACTCGCTAACCAGGAAGCAAAGAAGCCATCTTGTGTCACCTTCAGAAGTCAGGCTGGAGTAATCATTACTTTGTGGCGACGGGGATTTGAATTCTAGTCCAAATGCAAGTCTTATTTTAGGTGGCGGTACAGAAGGAGGAGACTGGCAGAAGCTAATGCTCTCGCTCAGATCTGAATCCTCCATTTGTAGCCACAGCAGGAGCCTAATTTCTCACTCCTCCCCAGAGTCGAGTATCTGGCTGGGTTTTGATAAGATGCCCGGTTCTGGTACGCCCTTATGGGAGAGCGAAGAAAATAAGCTTTCTGTCTTCTCCGAGAGAGAATCAGAAAGAAAGAAAGAAAAATCAAGGAAAATCATTAACAGCGTTGGATGGGACGGAACCCAGAGGGTCCCCAGAACTCTAAGAGGCTTTTGAGGGGGTCTGACGGCTCCAGGGGAGCTGAGCTCAGCCCAGGGCACTGATTAGCCAAACAGAGGGAGGGTTTAACAGGGATAATCGCATATGGAGCATGGCATTAGTGGCCGGCTTTAGACCTCCCCCCCAAAGGAGGAAGAGCGCTGTGGGTCAGGATTGCTGCTTCACCACCGGGAATCTCGGGTCTAGGCTTAGCTTAGCACGCAACGGTCAGACCACCAGGGTACATTCTTGTTTTAATTGTTTTATCATGAATTAATCATGCTTAGAGGAAGCATAAAATGTTTAGAAATGAATCCAGGTGGACCTAAAAAAAAGTTATCCAGGAATTTGTATTAGCCATAACTTAAACTCAAATTCAAAAGTAAAAGAAACTACACAGTATGGTGTATTATGGATAAAGACTACAAAATTATTATTATTATTTGACAATAATATCATATATTCAAAACAGCCCACTCCCTTAAAAAGACACACATTAATTAATCTGTAAATTGTAGGTAAATTGTATATCTGTAATATATTAGACTACAGTATACATTATTTTGTTGCTTACATTAAAATTCAGTTAAATATCCTTTATTATTTTCAGTCAGATATCACAGTATTTTTTGTGTGTGTGTTTATGCTCACCAAGGCTGCATTTAGTGTATTTGATCAAAAATACAGTAAAAACAGCATATATTGTAAAATTAGTGCTGGGCAATGATTATTCGTGATTAATCGCATCCAAAATAAAAGTTTTTGTTTACATAATATATATGCGTGTACTGTGTATATTTATTATGTATATATAAATGTCCAAGCTGTGGGTGTGTGACGAGGACCCCGACTGCGCCGACGGCTCGGACGAGGCCAACTGCGGTGAGTCGCTTGCCATCGCCACGCATTACCTCATGCTCGTCATCACCATAAATATCCTCCTTAAAATTCAGCGTGAGAAATTTCTGTTGGTCTGAGCTCCCAAAACATTCCATTTGCTTTAATTTTGCACCGACTGTTTGCCCAGAGGACTGACGCAGATGAATAAAGATCTTTCATAACCGACGACTTGGAGTTCCTACTGTAATCTTGGGGTTTTGAGGATGTGCTAGCGAGCTAAGAGACGTTTCGCTGAAAACCGCTCACCCGAGCTCTAACGTTTTCTCAGGGCGAGTGTTGTCAGGTTGCATTGTGTTTGCTTTATGAGCAGCTAACCAATTGGTCTTCTCCATTGGGCCCAAAATGGATGATTTAGTGCACTATAATTATGCAGATTCAGTTTTTTCTCTGTTTTAACCATGCACTGTTCCATGTGTCTTGTAAAGCAGCTGCTTTGGCTTGTAGACAACATGCAACTATCGAGGACTATTCCAGAGGAAGTGATTATTGTTTAGAAGTTGCTCATTGTGGCTTCTTACTTATTTAACTATCAACTTTAACATGATGCATGTTGTTAAGCTCATTATGTGATACTTTAAAACGTATAATAATTAATATAATGTAATAATTGTAATTTTGTATTTTTAATAATTTAATAATGAATAAATTATGAATACATGTATTTCAAAATGTGAAATTATATTACAATTATATTGCTACTTTATCAACCATTATTATATTCAAAATATATTTTAAGATTGTAAAACTTTTCTTCCTTCCCAAAGTACATATTTTAATATAATTTGTCATTTTAAGGTTTAAATGAAATACATTTTCAGAATTGTTTGCTTGTATTCTGGATTTGATGCGTTTTGTGGGTCGAAAAGGCTGTAGCGCTACGAAGGACTTTATATTATACAACTGACATACTCAAGATGGTTTAGTGTTGACTTTAGTCTTTAAGGGCCCTATCATACATGCCAGGCGCGATGCAAGTGTTTTCTGCTAGTTTCAGCCTGACGTAATAATCATTTTCACGTCCTGCACCACGTTGTTTAAATGGCAAATGCATTTGCGCCCATTTGTGCGCCCATGGGCGTGCTGGTCTGAAAACGATGTGTGTTCATGCGCATTGCTGGCGCGTTGCTATTTTGAGGCAACTGAAATAGACTGCGCCTTTGACCAACAAAAACCTGGTCTAAAGTCTCGCGCAATATTTTTCTTTGTTATTTAAAGAGCGCGTTAGTAATATGCACCTATAGGCGGGTGCACAATGCGCGAACACTTTGCTTATTACACGCAACAGCACACAATAATTTTAAAAAAATGACAAATTAAATTCCGCCATGTAAATAGCGAACCCGCCATGGCGTGAGCAACTGGCTCTAAAAGGGAATGGGAGATGAGACTCTGCTTGGTTTATTGCTCGTTATACCCAAAACACACCCATTACTCATCAAGAGAATAGGGACCAACCCTTTTAGACCCTGGGTTAAAATAGGGCCACAAAGCCCTCACCTCTTCAACAAAAAGACTTCCTCTGTGTGTCCTTTTTGCCAGTGTCATTTAGCACTTTGAAGGCCGCTCCACATTATTGCTTGTCATGTTTCTCTCTGCAGCTTGTAATGGCTGTCAAGTACATTAGGTGGCATCGCAGTAACAAATTGTCTTGTAAATAGTTTTTTATTTGATATCGATCCATCCAACATAATAAAACAAAATAGTTTTCATAAATGCTGTCTATTTTTGCTCAGCACCGAATCTCAGTTACCGTCCACCTCTACAAGGGAGCAACTAACCCACTGGCTTTCATTACAGGGAAAGTTTAGTGCATTGCAGGAAGTAAGTAAGCTGAAGTTTGACATAATTTTGCCGTTTGGGACTTTGGAGAAAGTTTTTCACTGAAGTAGTGTTCTTCAAAACATACTGAAGCTTTTCTAGTCACGGAAATATACTTTTAAGTTGAGTGCAAAATTGTCTAGTATAATACAATTAAACTTTTCCAGACCTGTCATGGCTTACAATAAACATATTTAAATTGAGTAATTAGTAATTAATTCAGATTTATTCTGAAAATTCAAACCCATGCAATTCTAACATAGGCAAAATAATTTTTAGGTTTGTTTTGTTTTTACTTTTTTTTTTAAATTATTATAATATTACAGTATTCTAATTTGTTTTTATTAACTAATTATTTTAATTGATTATTTTAATTATATTTATATAATATTGATAATAATAATATTTTTTTATAATTGTAAAATGTATTTAGTCCAGTATCGGACAGAAGTGTGAGGTTTATTATGTTCTTAAAGTCTCAGAAATGATTACAATTATTGCAATTTTGTGATCCTAATTATAATAATGAGTTGAACTATTTGAATATATATATTTTTTTATATTTGTAAATAATTATTAAAGTATTCCACTTAATTATATAAATATTGCATCATTAAATATTATTATAATATTAGTAATTAAAATGTTTGTTTGATTATTTATCATTGTTTATTATTATAATCATCAGTAGTAGTAGCAGTAGTAGTAGTAATAATAAAGTTTTCAAAATTATTTTTAATTATTAAACTGTTCGTTAAATATATTAATTACATATTGAATTAGTATTTCAATCTCAATAACTATTCAATATATTTTATGACAGAGTAAATGTTTTAGTTTATATAATATATATTATAATATTTTAATTTGTTTTACTTATTTGGTTATATCATAATTTGTATTTTAGTTATATATTTTTATACTACTACTACTACTACTACTAATAATAATAATAATAATATAAAAAATGGCTAAATATTGGAAAAAAGTGTGAGGATTATGATGTTCTTAAAGTCTGAAAAAGCTTTAGTTCTCAATGAGGTCTTTTTCTGTCTCTCTGTGTGCTGGAATAGTGTACGGTCTTGGACGATATTGTTATTTTGGAGGATGTATTGGATTTCCCTAGATTCACAACACAATCATGCACTTTACCTCATTGAGAGGATATAATGGAATATTCACATTTACCCAGCATAATAATGTATTGATTTTTAACCCTAAATTCTCTAAATGTCTTTCTGAATGTCCATCAGCGGAGTGGAGCTTCATCTTCAAAAAAATCAATAACTTGCTCACATCTCTTTGGAAGTGGGGCTTTTCCTAAGAGATACTAAGATGAAACGCATCCACTAGTGCACAAGATACAAGGAAGACATTGATACAGTGTATTGACAGCTTGACTGAGATGAAAAGGGGACTAGAACTTTTAATAGAAATGGACATTGGAAAATTAATAGACTGAATGCAGTGGACTGGACTAGAACGCTGGGGTCTTGAGGCAGATTTTTCATTTTATTTTATTTGGAATTGTCACATCTTCAACTTAAAAACTCTTCTTTCATGTGGCAAGATCCAGAAAAAAGCTTAATCACGCACCACTATTAATTACCTGAATCAATCTATAAAGACAAAATAATATAAAATTATTGAATGATCAGTTATAGCCATTACATTTCGTGATAGTAGGCTAATTTAAAATAAATTACATTTGTAATATTATTTTTAAATCATAAAATATATCAATTATATGCTGCGATTTTAATTTTTTTACCTTTTTTTCTTTGGAGTGTTACAAGCTCTTGGTGCATAAAGAAGATCTGTAAAGTTGCAAAGACTAAAGTCTCAAATTAAAAAGAGATATTATAGAAGTATTAATAAAAGTTAAGAGTCAACCACGCCTACCTAAAACGGCTCATTCTAACACGCCCCCACATGTCTACGTCACAATGTGGGAAGATTTGCATAATGCCACCCAAATGTTCACGCAAAGAAAGAAGGCGTAACTTTTATTCTCGCTGTAGTATTGTTGTTGCCGCTGCCGTCATGTCGTGAAGGCGCTGTGTGTTTTGTTGTGAAAGCAAAATTACGTTGTTTGGCCTTCCAAACGAGGACGATATCCGCTTCGTCATGCCTGGAGCTGATCCGTGCTGGTCGCTGAGGAAATACATCAACTTTACACTGTGGATCGCCGGATCGGCTTTCACCGTGGACGAAGTGGAGTCCAGTCCGGGGTCGTCACATGTGGTTGCCGCAAGCCCGCCGGACGCTCCTTTGTCGAATTCGCCTGCCGCGCCGTTCTCAAGCCCCCCTGCCTCTGCTCACTCAAGCCGACCTCCGCTCACTCTAGGCCATGGCTCACTCTAGGCCTCCGCTCACTCAAAGCGGAGTGTGTGATCGCGGTGTGTGACACTGTTTCGTTGTGAAAACCGAAACTACTTCGTTTGACCTTCCAAAAGAGGACACGACTAGAAATCAGTGGTTAAGTTGTATTTACAGCACTGTTCCAGAACAGTTTAACCCAAATATTCAGATGTGTGCAGTGCATGTTATGGAGGACTGTTTCCTGATCCTGATAGAGTAGACTACAATGCCAGCTGTTCTGACTCACAGACTGCAAGTACGTTTTTTATATTTAAAGAATTTGCCAATGACGATTCAAACGCGAGTTTTGAGCAGTGTAGAGTATCACTTGTTGTTTGTCATTTCTCCGATCACAAATGCAGACATGGTTTTATGTTTATGCGGCGCGATGCAACACAACGCAATGCGTAAAAAGACAGTATAAGTCATTATAATGCATTATTATGTCCCCACTGGATGCAACAAATGCCTCGTTTATAATGAGTTTTAATGTTTATGTCTCGTCGCTCCGGCCGGGACAAGGCATCACAATATGGTAAAGGGGCGTAACATTTCCGTCACACGCTTGAGGTATTCGGCCAATCACAACGCACTGGATAGCTGGCCAATCAGAGCACACCTCGCTTTTCAGACCGATGAGCTTTGTAAAAATCGAGGCGTTTCAGAAAGGCGGGGCATAGAGGAGAAACAATAATGTACAGTATGTGGAAAATAATGTGTTTTTTTTTACCTTAAACCGCATAAACACATTTCATTACACCAAATACACAAAATAATGTTCTTTTTAGCAGCATAATATGACTCCTTTAAATATTACATTATTATAAAATAATATTTATAATACCGTAATTATTAAATATTATTAAATGCATTATTAGTAGTAGTAATAGTTGTAATGGTAGTAAATTGAATTAATTAAATAGTTTTGACTTATACTAAAATATAATACAAATAAAATGTAATATCCATCTTTAAGTCACTTCTCTCAAATTACTGAGGTACTTTGTGATAGTTTATTGTAGTTGGTTTGTTTTGAGAAATATATGTAATGTTTTTGTAAACAGGCAGCATGAAGTGGGTGGTTATGATTGTCCCAATTCAGATTTTTTTTTTATTGTTAATAATGAGGTACTTTGTTATGAGCAGTGTTATTTTATTTCCTTCTTCATTGTGTTCTCAGCACAATACCAAATACTCTCATCAGTTGTTCTGGCTTTGAATGGTCGAGCGCTGCTTCCATGTGTTTTGCCGCGTCACGATTAAAGATCCACATTAACGTTGTTTCAGAAGAATGGATTATTGGATTGAGCTCTCATGAAACATTCAGCATGCTGCCACGCTCTGACGCATTGAGCTCTGCTCCTTATTTGTTGGATGTGGCCTCTCACAACGCAGCATGATCCTAGTTATTTATTTTGAGTTATTTACCATGATCTGCCTCATGTTGGCAGCATGTCGGCAAAAGCTAATTAGCCGAGAACGCTGCCTGTAGCTCACTGAAAGCATACAGACTAACACTAATGCATTGAAACAATGAATTCATTCAATATACCTGCTGCGTTTGTTTGTGTTTGTTAATAAATCTTTGAACTAGTGAAATTAAATATATATATATATCTTTTTTTCAATATTCTGACTATTCAGTTAAGTTTACTTATTTTATGCATGTAAAATTTAGTGTAAAAGCATACTCATATTCTCTATTTAGTTTTAATGAGCAAAAATCTTTCTTCCAACTTGAAGGTGATTTGAGCCCTGAGGCTATTTGAGGGAAAAATCTTAATATTCCAGCCTTGTTCTTTCTAAATTAGAATTCTCTTAATGTCATTTTAAGTCGGGGAATTAGCACTCAAACACAGCATTGTGAATGTCAATTAATCATGCATTATGTTCTCATCATCTCTCATGATAGTTGGATTAGTCGTCGCCGACATTCAGATGAGGGGAAATTGCATTTCAGATTTCCTGTACTCAAATCAGCTCGGATTAGTTGATTATTTCAGAGCAAGGAAAATATGATTTACACCATTGTGCCTTTGATTCAGCCTTGTGGGATTCTGTGAAGAAAAAAATGTGTTAAATTTAAGGTAAAAAAAACAATCCTGGCAGGTGCGGTTGCTGGAAAAATTAAACATTTATTGGTAAAATATTAATGTGCAAAACAAACTACAAAAGGTATGCTTTTTTACCAAATCCTTGTTTTTTTTAAATTAAATATTTTAATGAGTGTTTTAAAGTCTGAATATTGTGTAAAAATGACCGTTTTTAAAGTTAAACTTGTTATAGTTTAGTTTATCTAAGAGCTCAGGATCGCTATTTGTTTTACACAAATATTAATGAGGACATTTAGATGAATGCTTTGTTTGTTTGTGTATGCAGATGAAAAGACATGTGGGCCGCATGAATTTCGCTGCAAGGACAACAACTGCATACCGGACCACTGGAGGTGTGACGGGCAGAGCGACTGCAACGACAATTCAGACGAGGAGAACTGCAGTACGTGATTCTGCATTTAATCTCTTATTTAGTTTAACAAACACTTCCTCTGTAGTTGATGCTGTCTGTGAAAGCAACGCTTGTTTTTTTGTTAAGCACAGTTCAAACACACTAAAATCCAGAGGATTTATAGTGTTTGTAGTTTGTTGTTTTTCTAATTGCAGTGATACTGTTTAGTTTCATTGTGCCGTGTTTTGGTTTTAGTTTTATTTTACTTTTAGTCTGCCATGTTTAGTTTAATCTTAGTTTCATTGTGCTGTTTTCTTGTTTAGTTTAGTTTCATCGTGTGGTATTATTTACTTTATTTTTTTATTTTTATTTTGTTCATTTTCATTGTGCTGTGTTTGGTTTAGGTTTTAGTTTCAGTGTGCTGTTTTGTTGTTTAGTTGTTTCATTGTGTTGTTTGGTTTAGGTGGTTTGGATTAGTTTTGTCTAGTTTCATAGTTTTGTTATTTTGTGAAGTGTCATTGTGCTGTGTTTAGTTTGGTTTAGTTTCATTGTGCTGTGTTGTTTAGTGTCACTCTGTTGTAGTTTAGTTTAACTGTGCTGTGTTGTTTAGTTAGTTTGGTTGGTTTAGTTTTGTTTAGTTTCATTGTGCTTTGATGTTTAGTTTAGTTTGGATTAGTTTGTCTAGTTTCATTGTTGTTTGGTTTATTTGTAAAGTTTCGTTGTGGTGTTTTTTTTGTTTTGTTTAGATTCATTGTGGTGTATTGTTTAGTTTAGTTAGTCTGGTTTTAGTTTTGTTTAATGTTATTTTCCTGTGTAATTTAGTTTACTTGTACTTTGTTGTTTAGTTTAGTTATTTTGGATTAGTTTTGTATAGTTTCATTGTGTTGTTTAGTTCAGTTTCATTGTGCTGTGTTGTTTAGTTTTGTTTAGTTTAATTATGGTGCATTGTTTAATTTCATCGTATTGTTATTTAGTTCAGTGTAATTGTGCTGTGTTGTTTTAGTTTAGTTAGTTTTATTTAGTTTGGGTACATTGCGCTGAATTGTTTAGTTTCTTTGTACTTTGCTGTTTAGTGATGTTTTTTTTGCGCCATGTTTTTTTTTGTTTGATTTTGTTATGTTTAGTTTTATTGGGCTGTGTGTGTTTGTTGTTTAGTTTAGTTTCTTTATATTTCATTATTTAGTTTAGTTTCACTGTGCTTTATGTTTGCAGTAGTTTAGTTTAATGCTCTAATCATGCTATAACCTTCTTGTCTTTGACATCTGAGTGCTTTGACATTTAAGTACATGCAGCTTTCATATGTTCCTCTTATCACACTTGGCTCTTAACACAACTAGACATACAGATACAGCAGGGTTTCTAAAAAAAAAAAAAAAAAGAACAAATAGATGTTGGATCATCAAAGAGGGATTTACAAGCTAACACTGATGTGTCTGTGTGTGACACTGAGCCGTCTTTTTCTTCTGAAGAGCACATGGGTCTCAAACCGTGTCCAAATGTGCTTCATCACTGTGTGTGAGTGTGAGACTGTTTTCTCAAATCTCCATATTTATTCCCTATTTTTCCCTTGATGGCTGGGTCATTATATAGGCACAGAACAAGTTCTCCACTAGTCAAAGAGCTCCTAAAGCCCAGTGGATCTCATCACACTTCAGCTGTGTCTTCAGCCTCTAGCTTCACACTTTCAAACGAGAGCAAAATACACAGTGAGAATGATATTGTGTGTGAGACTGCTCTGGAAGTTTATGTGTCGCCCAAGTAGTGATTATATAAATTTCCCTGAAATGCAGACAGGTATTTTTCCTGTCGTCTCGGGATGTTGCTAACTACCGTCCGCTGGAGTGCAGCTCTGTTTTTTTGTCAGCCCTGTGACGTTGATTGACAGTTAGCGGAGAAAGTGTCCCACTGAATGGCAGAATCGATCTCTCACCCTGATCTGCAATTTGGTTTTGATGGCAGCGGCCCTGTTGCTCCTGGCATCGGCTCCCGTGATAAATGGCCATGTATGTTGGTTTTTTTCCTCTGTGCTGTGGCATGAGCCTGGACCATATATTTACTAGATTACAGAGCCACTGCCATCATTTATTCACAGTGTGATCATGATGTAAGTCAGACTTGTGCTGCAGCAGAAAGCAGAGCACAATGGCATCATTTCCACCTCACTGAGACTTCTTTCCTTTATTTTTCCACTTCCTGTTCCACTTTTACTTCCCGTTGCCTTTCTTTCCTGTCTGTTTTCCATTATTTCATTTTACTTTACTTTTCATTTGCCTTGTTTTTCTTTTGTTTTACTTTGCATTTTCCTCCTTCTTTCCATTTCCTTTTCTTCCTTCCCTTCCCATTCCTCTTCCTAGTTTTTATCCTTTTCCCCTTCCCTTTCCCCTGTAGTTTTCCTTTACTTTCCATTTCCTTTGTTTTTTCCTTCCTTTTGTTTTATTTTACCTGTCATTTTCTTCCCTTTCCTCCTCTTTCCTTTTCCTCTTTCTCTTTCCCTTCTATTTTCTCTTCCTTATCTTGCCAGTCACTCTCTCTCCATTCTCTTTCCCTTCGGTTTTTCCATTATTTCCTTTTACTTTACTTACATTTTCCTGAGTTTACCCGAGTTTTTCTCTTTCATTCCCTTACTTTATCCTGCTCTTTCTTTCTTTCTTTCTTTCTTTCTTTCTTTCTTTCTTTCTTTCTTTCTTTCTTTCTTTCTTTCTTTCTTTCTTTCTTTCTTTCTTTCTTTCTTTCTTTCATTTATTAACTTGTTTCTTTATGTTTTCCATTCCATTGCTTTACTCTCTTGCTTCCTGCGTTCTGTTTTATCTGTCATTCCTTTTATCAGTTGTTTGTTTGTTCTGTATGTTTGTTTTTTTCTTTATGTAGTGAGGTCCCTTGTAAGACTGTAAGTTCATTTAAGAAAGTGACATGGCCCCTTTAAGAGCATTTCTCAGTAGGCGGAAATGTGCACGCTAGTAAATTGCCATGTGCTTTATAAGACGGAAAGGAGCGGTGGTTTGGAAGGGTTATAAACTTTATTTCCTGTTGAGACTTAGGTTTCCCATTCGAATAAGGTTGTTTTCTCACACTTCTGTGCGGGAGCCCTCCCAAGTCAATCAAACAATTCCACTGCCGCACCAACTCCTGCACAGGCTTAGGGAGCCCCATCCGTTCATAGCCATCAGGGACCCTCTTCTGATGCCAAAACTGAAGAAATGTGCCAATAACCAAACCCTGTTTTTGGAGAGTGGCTAGAGGATCAGTAGAATATGTTGGCAATACAAAAATTGCCATTTGCATTACCTCAGTAGGCCTTAAATCAGAATGTAGCTGCAAACTTTCTAGAAGGGGGGTTCCAGGGAAAAGGGACTCCAGCCTGGAAGATTCATCAGTAGAATGGACTTGTCTGGAAAGAGAATCAGCATTCACATTTATCCAACCAGACCGGTAATGGATGGTAAAATCAAAAGTAGCCACTTGGGCTGCCCATCTCTGCTCGGTGGCTCCCAAATTTGCCGTATTCAAATAGCTAAGAGGGTTATTATCTGTATTATCGTACTTATGCCCCAACAGATATTCCTGGAACTTCTCTGTCACGGCCCACTTTAAGGCCAGGAACTCAAGCTTCATTGAACTGTAGTTGGGCATATTCCGTTCTGAAGGGGAAAGAGCTCTGCTAGCATATGCAATGGGTCTTATTCTTCCTCCTTGGTCTTGGGAGAGCACCGCTCTCAGTCCCCTATGACTAACGTCAATCTCTAAAATAAAAGGCAGGGAGAAGTCAGCATATGCCAAGAGTGGCGCTGTGTCCTCTTCTTATACTTTCCACCCAGAGTGGCAACGAGGCGATGCAATGGAGCTGACAATCTAACAAATCCCTCCACGAAGCGCCTGTGATTGCTGGCGAACCCCAGGAAAGACCTCAACTCAGATATTGTGGTAGAACAGCCCCAATTAGACATGGCAGCCACCTTCTCAGGATCCGTAGAGACACCATCTTCAGAGATAACAAAGAAGCAGCACTATTCCAACTTTACTTTAAGCCCCTCCTTCTGCAAACAGGACAACACAGATTCCAAACAGATGAGATGTTGATCGACAGTAGATGAGAACACAATGACATCATCAAGGTATAACAGCAAAGATTGGAAATGCTGTGCCCCAAAAAGACGTTCCATTAGCCTCTGAAATGTACTCGGCACTGCCTTCTTTCTGCTTGACAAGAACTATAGGAGAGGCATAGGGACTGCAGCTCTCACGAATCACCTATGCCTCTAGAAGTTGGTCAATATGGGCTTTAACTGCATCATAGTCTGACGGGGGAATACGTCTATACCTTTGCTGAACAGGTACATCATCAACCAAAGGAATTTCATGAACTATAAGATCAGTGCACCCTCGTGTGCTGAAAATACCGAAGAATATTTGTACAACAAATCCCTCACTTTTCGCTGCTCTGACTCAGACAAGGCCTGCAGATCTACAGCATTCACAGGATCAATTTGGCCTAACTGGGAATTCACAGAGGCCACATTCGAACCAACTGGTTCAACACCTACTTCTGAAATACCTGCAGGTAAACTGACAATTTGTGCCTAATGTAAAATACCTAATGGAAACCTGGTTTGGAGTTTTGTGGCCGTCCTATTAACATTCACTATAGGGATGTAAGCAGTACCCCTAGTAACCTTGACAGCATCTGGGTAAAGAAACACCCCCGGAGGAAGGTGGGTATATCCTATGGAGGGCTCAAAAATACAGTGTTACGTAAAAAAAATACCTGCTGAGCGCAGGTGACGGCAATAAACCTCACTGATTCAGCCGGGACGGAGACAGCACGCCTACCCCTAACTCTTGCCAAACCTCGTGTACGCTCAGCAGACTGAATTTGATAACACAAGTGCAGCGCTTGCTGTAAGGCATCAGGGGCTTGGGTAACTTGGGGAAGATCAAAAAGATCAGAGCCATACTCTCCAAACAGTTCAGAATAGCATTCCCTTATGATGTTCATACCAAAACCCCAAGCACACTAGTAGTGGGCAAGGAAGTTTGGGGGCTCTGCACTAACA